AAAAAAAGAAATCTGATGTAATCATAACAATCTTCTTCGATAATTTATCAAAAGCTTTTAATCATATAGATTAAATAAATACTTCAAAAAAGATAAATAAGAGACAGAAAAAAAAGACTAATTGTAAGCAACAAATTCTCAATTTAGTTTATGAAATATTCATATTGACATAATATAATTTAATATGATGATTATTATATTTTTCTTCTTTCGTTCGATCAGATAGAATTTCTTCTACTGATAATATTGCTCATTGAATAAATGATCTTATAACACATACAATAATAAATATTGAAAGTTTCAGGTTTTTTTTTTGTCAAAAGATTACACTGATGAAAAATTTATATTATATATGATTAATCAAGTCATACAAAAAAAAAAATCTTGATTCTATTACATACAATCAATCATGTATTCTATATAGAAAAAAAGTTTCCGACATGAAGAAAAATATTGAAAATAATGTCCAATGAAATGATCATAGGATTGATTTTCTTCCAAACAAAAAAAAACACAGATTTGATTACATTTATTGGTCATCAATTGAGAACGAGAGAGAAAAAGAAAAGTAAATATAAAGACATTCACATTTCTCATAGAATATTCACTTCAATGGAAACTTTTCTTATTCAGAAATATTCTTTCTTTTTTTTTTTTGTATAATACTTTTTATATGATGAATATTTTCACATACGGGGATAAGTTGCGGTATGATATAGAATGTTTGAAATCGACTCCCCATCTTCCTGTCATCCGCTTTCTCAAAATTAAGACAAACATTAAATGCTTACCTAACTTTTGATTGTCATTTAAAATATATATGTCATACCGCCGCCGCTCAACAAAATACAATTGTTTTATCGTCAAAGATGACATGTACATACAATAGAGAAAGAATATTCTTTGAAATACGATAGGATATGTCTCAGACTTCTATATTAAGCTTACCGAGAATAAACGATGTTTAAAATTCATATATACGAAGTAATACATTTGTATGATCAATGGTATATTTAGATTTATAATGAATTAAGAAAAAAAAACAAGATTCTGTCAATAATAAAAAGACGTATATGAATTCACCGGCGTTTTTTCATTGAACTGATGAAAATACATGAAAAAATGAATATTGATCACATCGAGTGACATGATTATTTTTTTTTCTTATAGAAAATTAAAATAAATTAGTCTAATACAAATATATACAGTGACTCAGGAAATTATTCGATCAGGTTTATGTTCAATTTTTTCCACTGTCATATATGTTGATAAGAATTCAAATAGTAATTTGTGTAGAGAATTTTTATTTCCAACAAACAATTCTCTACAAGAAGAGAAATCTTTCAGCTCTCTATGATGTTTTTTGACCGAGATACGCCAATCTTACGGAAGGCAGAAAAAAAACGACTTTCGTGCCATCATTCTGGATAATTCAAACAGAATTCTATTTGCAAATTCCATGAGATGAAAATCTTGTGTATTTCTGTTTTTCAGAGATCCTATCTCTGAAAAACTAGCAATCATTTCCCTCATTGAAAATCCTTATTGGAAATAAAATTCTCTACATAAATTACTATCTGAATTCTTATTAGTGTCTGTGGCAGTGGAAAAAAATTCGAAAATAAAATTGGTCGTATAATTTTGCGAGTCACTATATATATATCACTAAAATAAACTTTTAAATTTAATGTTATAAATACATCGAGTACTAGTTCAAAAAATATAGAAACATGAAGAAGCATAAATTGAAGAAAGAATTTTACCTTCTGGCGATTCCTATTCTACATTCTTTTCATTTTCAAAAATCATAACAAGTCTCATATACAATCCTAGAGTGATTTGATGAATAATAAAACAACTAGAGAATCGATATTATACTTCCAAGAAATTCGTATCAGATGAATAATAGGCTATCAAGAAAAAAATATCGTTAGATACATGTTCGAATTATTGTTAATCAAGAAACTTGTATTCTGTCCAATACAAGTAAATCTTAATACTGTTAGTGTCCTTATTGTAAATGAGAGTTGCTTTTATAATTATTATAAACTAATTTTTGTATTTCCTTAAGATTTTTTTTTGTCTCACAATGGAACCTTTTGTATTGGTTATCAAGAAGATTGACCATGTTCGGGTCAAACTATCACTCTCACCACAAAACTACTAAATTTAAAATATTACGTGCCCATAGTGTACTTAGAGCAAGTTACTTCAATTTCAAGGTATGTGAAATTAGGTATAAAAATGAATCAGGGAAGGATTTGTCCACTATTGTAAGGTCAAAACATAGTGTTGTTCGGGCTGATTATAGGGTTTATATGGGACCCTCTTTCATATGATCCAAATAACATCATGTTTTATCCTTATAATAGTAGAGTAAATTTTTTTGGTGGCTGATAGAACACGCCGTTTTCATGAACTACAGGAAAAATTCACTCTGCTATTATAAGGACGGAATATAAGGTTATTTGGGCTATATGAAAGACCATCCTTGATAATCCCTAGTTTGACCCGAATAACCCTATGTTCCGTCCTTATAATAGCAGAGTAAATTTATTTTGTAGCTCATAGAAAACGGCGTTTTCTACCAGCCACCAAAAAAAATTCACTCTACTATTATAAGGATAAAACATGGTGTTATTCGGATCATATGAAAGAGGGTCCCTATAAACCCTATAATCGGCCCGAACAACACTATGTTTTGACCTTACAATAGTGGACAAACCCTTCCCTGATTCGTTTTTATACCTAATTTCACATACCTTGAAATTGAAGTAACTTGCTCTAAGTACGCTATGGGCACGTAATATTTTAAATTTAGTAGTTTGGCGGTGAGAGTGATAGTTTGACCCGAACATGGTCAATCTTCTTGATAACCAATACAAAAGGTTCCATTGTCAGATAAACAAATTTGAAAATATGATCATACAATGGAGAAATTGTCAGTAAAATACTTTGCATTGATAGAATATCAAATTCATTCAAGTTTTTTATGATTTATAGAGCATAGTTCGAAAGTACCATAGTCAAAATTTTTACTTTCATTTGTATTAGCGTTCAATTCTAATACGAAGAAGTCCTCTAAATAACTTATTAAATCAAAGTTTACTTTTCTAAAAATAAATATAAATGATAAATCATTCCGGTTTTCAACAACATCATATACTATGAAGAAAAAAAAAACAAAACTTTATATATATACATAAAATTCGCATATGTACGTATATAAGAATGAATCAAAAATAGAGAGGATATTTGTTTTTTTTTTAAAATTTAACTTCGAACGGACATATTATCATCAACATCTCCTTGTAAATCATTATATGAATTTTGATCAAGTAATAATATATCTTCTTGATATGGTGTATTATCAATACTTGAATCAGGACTATGTTTTGATGGATCAATTTGAAAATCATTTGTTGGTGCTGATTTTGCTCCACGATGATCATTTGTTTGGCTATGATTTATATTTGTATTATCTTTACGTGTAACAATTGGAACAGTTCTTGATATTTGTTGTCGAAGTTGATTTTTGACATTAGTTGTTTTAGCATCAAACAAATCTTGTATACGTGATTTAGCTGATAAACGAAGGCTAAATTCTGATGACATTATAGCTGGTGGTGCTGATCCACCAAATTTTAATCGAATATTTTGATGTGTACCATTTGTACCTTGAATTGTTGGTGTATCAACAGATGGATGTGATGAATTACGACAACCTGTTGCATTTGTTGATGGTAAAAATGAATCTATTATAGAAAAATATAATAATAGTAAAGAAAAAAAATATATTATCAATTAAACCTGATCGTTGTATATCAAAATCATCAAAACGTTTTATTTCATCGGATGTATTAGGTCGTGGTGCATCAAGTCGATCATCTTCTAAACCTAAATAACTTATAACAAGATCACGTAATTGTTCATAACCATCTTCAAGACTATCTGTAAAAAAAACACAAATGAAATAAATATTTTATAAAGATAAAAACAAAGAATATATTTTTATACTTGTTAAAATAAATGCATCAAAAAAACCAGGATGTGTTCGATTGTATTCAGCATAAAGTTCAACACGATTTAATGCCATTGTTATTTCACCTTCTTCAAAACCTTGTAATTGTAAACGACGTTTATGAATTTGTTGATCCATTGGTAAAAGAAGTACACAACGAGGTTCAAAATGAGATTGTTTTATTGATAAAAGACCCTATTATTTTTTTTTTTAAATTTATAGATTAATTTATTGAAAATAAAAAAAAATTTAATTTTACTTCAAGTTCAATTTGTACGACACATGCTAAACCTTCTCGTGCAACATTTTCAATTGATGAACGTTGAAGACCATTCCAATCACCATAGTATTCATAACAACATAAAAATTCACCCTAAATTTATCATAGAACAATAGTTTTCTTTCTTTCTTTTTTTTTCGTCCCAAAAAACAAAATAGTTTTAACAAACTTTAGTAACATCTTCTTCGTATTGTTCTTGTTTGATAAATATATAATCAACACGATCTTTTTCATTAGCACGTTTTTCACGAGCAGTATGTAAAATTCTAAAGAAAATGTAATTAAATTTATGGATAGAAACTACATGAGGAATTAGCAAAAATTCATGCTACTGCGAAAATTAACTGTCAAATGTAAATATTCTTGTCTATTGTTATAAATATCGCTTATTTAATCTATGTAATAATTAAATTTGGAATTAGATAAAATATTGTACAATGATATGATATTAAATTCATCGAATTAGTTCGATATGAAATAATGAATCTATACTTAGATTTGAGTTAGTCTGGACATCTGTATAAGTATATCATTGTGAATTGTACTCATTCTAATATATTAGAATTTTTAGTTTTCATTAACTAGAAAACAAGATATGACAGTTAGTGAACATAATTTATTGATAATCTTTCTTTTATGAGAAATTTTATGTTTCATAAAATCTAACGTTTATCAACTAGTATTGCTTTGTATGTTTTTTTCATATTCTTTCTCTTAGTCATACTGAACTTTAGAAGAACTTCTAGTAGAAGTCTCAAAACGAGTTAATTGTACGTAGATAACTGTAATTACTAATTGAGACTGGATTAGAAATATGCAATTTCAGTTTACTGACCACAGACATCATTGACTCAGTACATACTCATACACCGCTACAAAAAAAAAACATATTTTGATAGAGTTAATGTTTCAATGCTGTAGTGAATGTGCATGTCATTGTAATCGAAAACTCATTGTCAGTATTTACATAAAAACTGCCCATTCCTAAACTGAATTAGTTCTATTTCGAAAGATCTTGTAAAGTTTAATCTGATTTTGAACATCTATTATTTCTATTCAATCTTAAAATTTTCTTGATAATCGACCTTGTTTAAAACTAAAATTAAGTAAAATTCATGTTGGAAAATTATTTCATTTTACCCATAACCAAAAAATTCACTAAATTCTTCAACAAGTCGATGAGCTAATTCAATTCTACCACAACCTTCTGGACCTGATAATATTAACATTGGATATGGTGTTTCAATATTAGGCAAAGTACTAAAAATAAATAAATAATAATTATATATAGAAATTATTCATTTCAATTATTCACCTTTCTTGTACTCGATGATCTTGTAAAAATGAAAAAACAACATTTGTCATATGATCTCTTGATGCAAAATATTCCGATGATGGATTAAACATTTGTTTAGATTCAATCTTAAATATAAATAATCTTATTAAATTAAAAATTGTTTGTTCTTTTTTTTTTTTTTATTAAATAACAATACTTTTTCAGCTGCATCAATTTTTCGTCGATCAAGTATAGTTAAATGTTGTAATTTAAATATAATCGAAAGTCGATAATCATCGATTTCAGTTATTTTATTTCCACGTAAATTTAAATCTCGTAAAAGACGATATTCACTAAGGCGATCAATATCAGCTAAATTATGAAGCTAAAATTCATAAAGAACAACAACACCGTTGTATTTATTTATAAATATAAAATATCTTACTTGATTGTCAGCAAGATCAAGTACTTCAAGAAAATTTAATCGTTCAGGAAAGCCAGCTAAAGAATCTATTTGATTACATGATAAATTAAGTTGTTGTAAATATTGGAGTGAATCGAGATTTTCAACATTTCGAATTTGATTTGATCTCTTTAAAAAAAAGAAACAATAATTTCGATCCTGAAAACAAATATCACCATTAGACTCAGTACGGTGAATTACTCCTGTCTAGCTGTTTTTCGTGGTGATCATACATCAATTGGCTGAAATTGAGAGTCTCAGAAAAAGACATATAACTGTCAAATAGAACAAGCTAGGGATCTTGACATTGCATAGATCGAAAGAGAAGAATTTTTTCTATCGATTAGTCTTATTTAAAGTCTCAATCAAAAGGAAGATAACTTTAGAATATCATTTTCGAAAATCTATACGAAGAACTCATCTGATGCGTCAATTGCTGATTAATCGAATATCGATATACTTCGATGGTCCTGGATCTTCTCTCTCTTGAATGGTGAAAATCGTAGATTTCTATGAAAATTTATTCAAAAAACAATGGAACATATTATATTTTGAAGTGAACAGAAGTTTTTCTAAGAAAAAAATCTTCTTCTTACTAAATTTAAATATTTAAGTGGTAATCCATCTAATTCTTCTATTTGACTAATACGATTATGAGCAAGACTTAAGTGTTGTAAACGATAACAATTTTTTAAACCTTCAATTTTCGATATTTGATTGTCTAAAATAATCGATAAAAGAAAAAAAAAGATAATCTTATTTATTTAACCAAAAAATAACAAACAAACATACTATCAAGAATAAGTTTTTGTAAATAATGAAAATTATCAACATTTTTTATTTGTTCAATAAGATTAAATGAAAAATCAGCTTCTTTTAAATTACATGGTGGCCAAAAATCAAATAATTTACGAATTTTATTATTTGAAACATCAAGTTCAAGTAAATAACTTAAATTATCCAATGGTGATAAATCTATATAAAATAGTCAAAAAAAAAACAAACTAGATAATTGTTGCAAATAAATCATACCAGATATATTATTATATGGTAATTCAATTCTTTGTAAATGCGTATAATTACTTAAAATTGATATATCACGTAAACCATAACCCTATGGAAAATTTAACAAAAAAACACAATAATAATAAATTTAATCATATCATTAACTTACAGGTAATGTCAATGTTAAATAGGAAACACTTGATGAATCAGCTGTTTTACCAACTTTTGATATATGTTTAGCAACTGTTTCAGCATCAAGTATTCCAGCAACGAGATTATTTGCTGTAGGTGCTGTTTCAGAATATGGTTCATTTTCACGTACAGTTGATATAAGACCAGTTTCAATTCTATCATCATCAGATATTTCTGTATTTGTATATTGTTGACGACGATTTATTGATGATATTGGAAAACTATCTGTTGATCGTCGACTAAGATTACCATCTTCATCAAGTACAAGAATATTTGTATCATCAGGTAATAAACGATTTGGATCATATGGAAGTTGTTTTGTATTAACAACAAGACGTGAAGCATTCATTATATTGAATTTATTAGGTAATTTACTTTTTTGAATATAAAAGAAACAAATTTATTTAACATTCATTTAAATGAGTTGTTCTCTAGTGAAGACCTCTAGATTTTTTCTGTTGATTTTTATTCTTACTGATAGATGTCTATAGTTCTTTGTAAAATTGAAGAAAGTTATATCAATGATAATATGACAAGTTTCATGAAGTATATTTCTAAGATTTTAGTTGCTTGTTTTTGTGAAAAAGATAACCTTCGAGAGAATCATATAAAGTAATTCTTGAGTTTTAAGTTTGTATTTTTTGATTCGAAGGAACTGAGCAAAACAACCGTAATCCGAAAAAATGTTGTTCATTACATATAGAAATAGAAAAACAAACAAAGTACAAGCTTAAGATTCATCATGTATTTATTTCATGACACATTCTACTTATATAATAATCAAACGAATCTTCAGAATTTGAATAATACGTGGATAAAATATTTAATATTGATTGTTTTACGATTATAAAACTCTTTACTAAAACAAACGAAACAATGTAAGATCGTATTTCAAATTTTTAACATTTTTCTAGGCATGGGTGTCTCCAGGTCACCAAGATTTGGGAGGGGCGATCTTTTTTAGAAGGGATTGATAAGCAAAACAAACGAAGAAAATCGTTCAGATTCGCTGGAGAAAAACGAAGATTTTCCAAAATTGAAGGAGATCACTCTCAAGCCCCCAATCGACTCGCCAAAAACCAAGTGGATATGTACCTCACTAAACAAGAATGTATCAAATGAAACTTAACATAACAGGTTGTTCTAAATCTCATCTTCTATCTACAAAGGGGTGACTCGTAGTGAGATCTGCACTTAGGCTATTGTTAGAACTACAATAAGCTTTTTACTTCTGTTATTCAGAGCGTAACAAATGTATATAACTTAAATAATATAATTTGTTTTGATTTCAAACATGAGAGAGTTATGTTGTTATGTAGTAAAGACAGGCACCATCTCATATCACAGCTCCTCAGGCAGCTTCGTAGCCTAATTCCAAGAGATTCCTTGTGCCTGTTATGGCGAAAGCAATGTAGTACTCGGAAAGGCCTACTATGAGTGTATGGTTTCTATCGTCTTTATTGTACATCACACTTACGTTCATTGTCCTGCCAGTGCGGCGCAGCCCGCTCTGCACGTACCCATTTCAGGCTGATGGGAGTCTATTGGGTCGTGCGCCCCGGCGATAATGAGTCGAGAAAAGCTGAAAGAATTGGATAGCAATGAGAACGAATTTATTGAGCAAGAAAAAAATAACAACAAATTTACAGCTTCTCTTTTGTCTTTTGAAGGCACTGTTTATACAGTTGAAGGTGTGGATGGTTCGTAGGTAGTGAAAGTTGTGCAATTTCAACGGCACGTTCATAAAATTGACTTGCCTTCAAATATTCTTCCATTTTTTCATACACCGAACCGAAGTTGTGATAGGAAACAGCCAATTCA